TACTAACTATTTTTCGAATTGAACAAGAGGTACTATCGTTATTTCTTAAACTGAGTACTGAAGTTATCACTAATTTTTAAACCAAACACTATTTCTAGAATTGAACATGTGTATTGTCACTATTTCTTAACTGAACACTGCTATTATCACTATTTCTTAAACTGAAAATGGGTATTATCACTATTTCTGAAACTGAATACTAATACTATCATTATTTTTAAAACTGAATATTAGTACTATCACTATTTCTTAAACCGAACACTGACTATTTTTAGAACTTATCACTGATGATACTACACTATTTCTGCAACTAAACATTGACATTACCACTATTTTTACAATTGAACACTGCCACTATTTTAAAACTAAGTACTAACACCATTTGTAGAACCAAATTTGAAAGTATCAATTTTGAAGAAGCACGGAAAGAAAGCGCATGAGGAGAGGATTAATCTTTTCTTTTGGTTGGAGAACTAAAATTTCGTAAATAGTGTTAAAAAAAAAAAAAAAAACTTAATACTCTATATAATTATATGCAACAAAATAACTTAAAAGTGACGCTTTGATAAAAGAAGGGACATTATCTGTTTGTACACCAACATAAAGGTGTCGTTTGGTATGGATGGGACAACAGACCGGAACGATCGAAGCAAAAACATGGAACAAGGAGGAAAAGAGGTTATTATTTTGTGTTCCCGATGTGGACGAGTGTCAGGGGGTAAGTGAACAAAAATCACCAAAATCGCCTGTGGAAACTGTTATCTATTTAGCAAACGTGGAGAAACGCTACACTTGTTCTCCGTCCCACATACCAAACGTACCAAAGTGTGCGATTGTAACTACACCAATTTTCAGAAAGAAAATGCCTCTAAATCTCATCTTATGCAATATAGTTCTACATAGTATGTATGGATCTAATCCATTTATAAGTAGTAAAAGGCCAGTTAGTAATTAATTAAACTCCCTTGCTTTTGGGTTTGCATATATTAATTAATCCCTTGAGCACTCATCATCTTATGTGCAAATCCAAAGATATATCTTCATCAACGAGTTCAAAAAAAAACAAATTACTTTGCTTTCAAACAATTAGGCGTTCGCCTAATCAACACGGGATGAGATGATGTCTGCTATTCTGCACACTTGTGGTTTAATCAAGACTTGGATCCACAAAAATAAGCAATAACAAAGTCATCAACAACGTGATTTGAACATAAAACAGTTTGATTTCGGAAAACTCACCTCCAACAGCAGTAAATGGTGGATGAGACGCCAGAAGGCTACTTTTTGGCAGCCCGAGAAGAAGACACAGTTTCACACGAGGAGGCTACGCATTGGCAGAGCCACAGAACCAAAAGCCCTTCTCTCTCTTCGTCTAGAGCGAAACAGAGTAAATAAACGGGCTAAAGCTCCAACTAGGGGCAAAATTGGAAAACCGTCTAGTTATTTTGCTTGGACCAATTTTATTGGGCTAGTTGAATATTGAGTTTTATCCTAACTATTAAATAAAGTTATTTGATGGTTTTTTGTTTAAATTTAATGTTTTGAAACCTTTTTCATTTTTTTTTAAAATTTTATAGGTTAGAAGTCGGTTCAAACTCATCGATGATTAATCTAATATCTAATGTAACCAAATTTATTATTTAACAAATAAAAAAATATAGATGGCTCTATATGCACCCAGGTCCCAGCCGTCTGATCAGTGCTGTGCACCCAAATACTTAACACAAAGGAAGCAACTACCAAACCATGGTTCTCTGAGATGGGTCCCCACCTCCCTTTTAGATGGGATTACCTTGAAGCTTCTGTCACATATTCTAATACGTAATGTACTCCATATTTAACTGTTTTATGGCATGTTTATGTAATTGTAATAGGAATCAAAACGGGAAATTGAGTTCCAATTATAAGATACTATAATGTTTATTGAACTATTGGAAAATCAAAAGGTTGGTGGGATCTACATGAATTTTGGAATCCAACTCCAAATTTTAGAGGAATTGAATTGTTAATATCCCATCCTGAAATTTGTTTATTTATTTAATTTACATTTTGGAAAAAAAAGCGATTTCAATGGCTTTTTGGTCATATTTTAAATTTCGCTTTAGTGTTTGGAGGTAGGTTTGGAATAGATGGATAGAATTCGAACCTATGAACATTTAGGCAAAACCTATTTGCGAATTGGAATTGAAACGAAAAAGTTAGTGGAGTTATAAGTGAGGAGCATTTTGGACTTTTAGACTTACTATAAATAACAAGTTTCCAAAACAGAATTTGCCAAAATTAGACATTCCATTTCTGGAAACTGAACCCAGACAGCCTAAAACCCCACCGACCCAGAACCCAGCCCATCGATCCACCAACCCGCGCGATCTTCATGTCTTCCGACGCAAATTCTAGCCAACTTAGAATGAACATGACCGTGCTACCCCCACCTTCTTGAAACTCGTACTTCCCTTTACAAAATCCACCAAAGTACCATCCCATTGACCATTGTACGTGGCGGTTCTATGCCACGAAACCAACATGTTTTAGAGACTCTTTTCCATTTTTTGGCGAATCCGCAAAGCAGCGACCAATGCCATCCCATGATTAAAACCAAACCAACCCCGACGTCGTTGGACCACCGTAGGCGAAGAATCGACGTCGTAGAGTTTTGGATACTTATCGCCTTTATCAACAAAATTGACCGTCTTTCGTTCATTTTTAGACTTTGTCGCATGTATAAAAGTTTGTTCCACTTGTTGAGCTCTGCATGCGTATAAAATTGGTGTCCTTTGGAGGTAGATGAAAAAATGGGTGTCATTCTTATTAAGTTTTCTATCGGAGCATTGTTGGCTCATCGAGACATATGATGTCTCGGTGACGTGCACATCGTTTTGCATGACGACTCAATTGTGTTGATTCTAGAAGTGTGTTGGATCTAGGTAAGTTGATTTTAAGATTATGTGATAAGTATTTGCATATGAAATTCTCTTGTTATATTCTTTGTGTGCATAGCATGGATTTACAAATGGTTATTACCCAGTCATCAATATGCTTTATAAAATGTATATGTATGTATATTTGAAATGTTTGTGAACTTAGAGGGCTAGTAGAGGACTAATACCTTGTACACTTCCTTTCTCGTTTCATGTGTAGATATTAAATCCCTAGTATGTTACCTTTCTTTATGATTCCATGAGTGGTTTTGAAATCTTGCTTTCTTTCTTCAATAGGTTCCATGAGTGGTTCTGGAATGCTACATTTGTCATGGTCCATGACTGATTATGGGACCTACATCCTGTCGGATTTCATGAGAGGTTTAGGAACCATGTGTATAGTTTATATTCGGTTCCATGAGAGGTTCTGGAACCCTATTTTGTGTATCCTTTGTTGTTCGATTCCATAAGAGGTTCTGGAACACGAAACTTGATGATGTTGTTATAGCCCTATGATTTTAGTAAATGTATGAAACTGATGATTGGATGCATGTGTGGAGTCAAACGAGATTTATGAGTGAGGATATATATATAGGATTGCAAACTATTGATTTTAAGTCACATATATGGTTTGTCACTCACACGACCTTCGTAGCTTATCCGGATTTTGCTTTGCTCGGTGCTCCCTTCCCACGACGTATGATCGCATTGGAAAGTAACAGGTAAAGGTTAGAGAAAAGGTTTCAGGGGGTATAGCTGACATGTGTAGTGCATTCAAAAGTAGGTTTGTTCCCTTTGTTCTAATTTCGTTTTCGCTGAATATCTGATGTATATTATGTATGAATTCCATCTGACTCTATGTATTTGTTTGGACCCAAATTTACGCTATCGGCCTGAGCAATCGAGACCGTAGAATGAGTAAAATTCTGAGCCATTGGATTGGAAGAAGGTTGAGATAATTGATTAATAATTTGTCTAGATAATATTATGATTTTAATAATCACAATATTATCTGGGGAATTATTAAGAAAATTATTTCTAAAAATGTGGAGATAATTGAGGAGTCCAAAAGATTAAATGCTACCGGATTAGAAGATCAAAGGTGGCTTCAATGTCGTGCGGCTATGCATTTTCAAAAAAGGTGTTTTGGATTTGTGCATGTGGTTGGAAGAAAAGGATGTGGCATGCATGGTTGCACGGGCAAATAGGTGGTGATAGGCTTTGGCCTATCATGAGATAAGGAAATGGCCACGTGGAATGCATCCAGAGGATAAGGAAGGAAAAACATGGGCTTTTTGAAAAATGGTGATAATACCGAAGCAAATTTAGGAGATGATGGCTTTCAGTCAGTTTGAATTGAAATCAAATTCTACTAGTGAAGCCGCACCATGCATTTGCTTCTATAAATACAAGGCTGCGAACACCATTCAGAGGACCTCCAATTAAACACACAACTGCCCTGCGCAAAATTTCTCAAACATCTTGAGATTTTTTATTTTCTTTTTTCCGCCGACACATCTTCAGTTTGGATAAACAGCACTGTGAAGGCAACCGGCGAACATCTTCAGTTTGGATAAACAGCACTGTTGCCGTAGAATCAGCCGTTCCCGAAGCACCTTCAGTTTGGATAAACAGCACTGCGTCGAGGTCGACTGGTTATCTATCCAAGTCTCGGTCGAGAAGGATTTTCAAATCCTTATTGGCAGAGGTCATCTCATTAGCCTTCTCGGCGAAGTGAGGTGTTACCAGGTTACTACATTCGGCACCTTGGGAGCCGAATTTGATATTGAACTTCGTAGAACTAGCAGCCTTGTCTTCAGGCTCGAGAATCCAAAGGCCGAGATTTGTTCCTTCCTCGGCCGCAGTCGCAAGATAAAGAAGTCAACAACGCGCTCAACGCAACATCAACAAATTTTACTCCTCGGCCGAGCTCGGCCGACGAGTTGGCACGCCCCGCATTCAACCGAAGGACGTAGTTAGCTTATTAGTTACTCGGCCTGCGCGCCACGTAGGTTCTGTAATTTTTGTAGTCAACATTTTGGCACGCCCGGTGGGACCCAGTGCTAGAACTACGAAGTTCATATGATATATCAAGATTCCAATCTGGCTCAACGTAGCCGATTGTACGAGCGCCTAGAGGAATTGAAAAAACACAATGAAGAACGAAAGAGATCTTTGGAAGTGGAAAAAGTTCTTCGTGGCCATAAAGAATTGCAAAAGTCATTCGCTTACATGTTGAGAATAAAAGCTCATGTTACCCTGCAAGAGCAATGGGTAAATGAAGACAGGGATCGATTTAATGCCTGGCTAGATGGAAAATATTTTCCTTACGTTTTCGACTACAAATCAATTCCATTTGAGGAATGGTTGGTTGAAAAGACTGGGGGGCAATTTTCCGCTTCGGCCGTAATCAGACATCGGCCTAAGAAAATTGTTAATTTGGTCGAGGAACAAAGGCCACCTATCTTTTCGGCCGAGACTAAAAGTGTGGTAGGCCTAGAAGAAAATGTTCAAGTTTCTGAGCCAAAAATTGACTCAGAAAATGATTCTTTAGAGGAGTGTTCCAATGACGACCAATACCGATACACGACTTCAGACCATAAAACCACATCAATTGATATGGTAATTGGACACATGGTTTTAGATGCCGAAACTACGCCAATCAATATGATTATTGGTGATAAAGCCGATAGGGAGAAATCCCATTCGGCTAAGTTGTTCGAGTTGAAAGCCGAAATTGGCGAAATTGTTATGCCTGGGGAGCATAATAATTGTCCAACACATTTGGCGGCCGATGGTAAAAAATATTTCACCAAGTCAAAAATATTTGGAGAAAATTCTTTATTCGGCCTAGAGCAAAATCAATTTGAGAATTTTGATATTAAAAGATCTCAGCTTGGAATAAAACATCGTTGGCCTCCTCCTGATTATGGTTCGGCCACTTTTATTTCCATTTGCTAAATTATTTTCTTAACCATTCGGCCTCTCGGCCGATACTTAAGAAAATCAGGGGGGCAACAGGCATTAAGCCCTTGTAGAAAGCTAACCAATGACCACCATGTTTATTAGACACATAATAAGTGGTATGCTCGGCAAATGTCCTTGGTTTTTTAAAAAAAAATATATTTTTGCAGAAGGCCACCTGTGCTAAGTGGTAGGCCTTCACGTGGTTGGATATTTCCAAAAAAAAAAAAAAAAAAAAAAAAAAAAAAAAAGAGACAACTCTCGGCTGTCTAAGCCGAGGCCAAGAAAATCAAGAAGATGCTGATCATTCGGCCTTTCGGCCAATACTTTAAATGGGGATCGGTCGAAGAACTTCCAAATGACTTCGGCCTGCTTCCACCAAGCCTTGGTCGAGAAATATATATATATATATATATATATATATATATATATATATATAAAAGAGGTGATAGAAATATGCATGCCCGACAACATCATTCCAAGGCCAATGGGCCAAGTTTTGATTTTGTTTTTTGTGGTTTTGGATTCATATATATGTGATGATGGTCTTCGGCCACTTTAAGACCTCGGCCGACAATGAAGTTCCTCGGCCACGAAACGTATCTAGCTAATGTTCCTCGACCACTTTTATTAGTTATATATAATTAGTTATGTATATATAGGCAGGCCGAGCTCCAGGAATGGTTTTCATCGTCTTCGACCCTAGTTCTACTCGGTCTCGCCCCCACTTTATCCTCGGCCCACTTTACAAAACTATATGGCCGAATATATAAAAAAAATATATATATATATATATATATATATGTTTTGGCCGAATGGTTTGTGTTCGCAGTTCCAAGACACGAATAGTGAGATGCTCATTCGGTTAATAAAAGGAGGCCGTTGAGACTGGCATGGAGCCCATTGGTGGAAAACATATGAATTTCCTCAAAGCCGAGTGATGGTGGTTTTGATGATGTGACTTTAACCCAATGCTTCTTGAACTCGGCTCATTTCTCTCGGCCCCATATGGTTTAGCCACTTTTACAAGTCACTAACATATATATACACGAACACACATGCCGAGCTCGGCGAGATGATGCTCGGCACAGGTTTGTTTTATGTGTGTGTGTGTTTGTGTGTATGTGTGTGTCTATATATATGTATATATATATATATATATATGCTAAAGGCATGGCAGACAAATCATATCAGGCAATCAACTACCCCTATATATATATATATATATATATAAATTCCGAGTTAGATGAGAAGCGGTGGCCCATTTGGTGAAACATAATGAATTTCCGTAAGGCCGAATGATGGTTATTCGGTGGTGGTTTTGATAATATTACATGGGTGTTATTGCCAAAAAGCAAAGTTTCTTTTTCAGTGACACGATGAGATTTTGTTGGCTACGAACAATTAATTTCCTTGACCATTCGGCTTATGAGCCGAAGCTCAAGGAAACTGGGGGGCAATGTTTGGACCCAAATTTACGCTATCGGCCTGAGCAATCGAGACCGTAGAATGAGTAAAATTCTGAGCCATTGGATTGGAAGAAGGTTGAGATAATTGATTAATAATTTGTCTAGATAATATTATGATTTTAATAATCACAATATTATCTGGGGAATTATTAAGAAAATTATTTCTAAAAATGTGGAGATAATTGAGGAGTCCAAAAGATTAAATGCTACCGGATTAGAAGATCAAAGGTGGCTTCAATGTCGTGCGACTATGCATTTTCAAAAAAGGTGTTTTGGATTTGTGCATGTGGTTGGAAGAAAAGGATGTGGCATGCATGGTTGCACGGGCAAATAGGTGGTGATAGGCTTTGGCCTATCATGAGATAAGGAAATGGCCACGTGGAATGCATCCAGAGGATAAGGAAGGAAAAACATGGGCTTTTTGAAAAATGGTGATAATACCGAAGCAAATTTAGGAGATGATGGCTTTCAGTCAGTTTGAATTGAAATCAAATTCTACTAGTGAAGCCGCACCATGCATTTGCTTCTATAAATACAAGGCTGCGAACACCATTCAGAGGACCTCCAATTAAACACACAACTGCCCTGCGCAAAATTTCTCAAACATCTTGAGATTTTTTATTTTCTTTTTTCCGCCGACACATCTTCAGTTTGGATAAACAGCACTGTGAAGGCAACCGGCGAACATCTTCAGTTTGGATAAACAGCACTGTTGCCGTAGAATCAGCCGTTCCCGAAGCACCTTCAGTTTGGATAAACAGCACTGCGTCGAGGTCGACTGGTTATCTATCCAAGTCTCGGTCGAGAAGGATTTTCAAATCCTTATTGGCAGAGGTCATCTCATTAGCCTTCTCGGCGAAGTGAGGTGTTACCAGGTTACTACATTCGGCACCTTGGGAGCCGAATTTGATATTGAACTTCGTAGAACTAGCAGCCTTGTCTTCAGGCTCGAGAATCCAAAGGCCGAGATTTGTTCCTTCCTCGGCCGCAGTCGCAAGATAAAGAAGTCAACAACGCGCTCAACGCAACATCAACAAATTTTACTCCTCGGCCGAGCTCGGCCGACGAGTTGGCACGCCCCGCATTCAACCGAAGGACGTAGTTAGCTTATTAGTTACTCGGCCTGCGCGCCACGTAGGTTCTGTAATTTTTAGAGTTAACATTTTGGCACGCCCAGTGGTTACTCGGCTGTCTAAGCCGAGGCCAAGAAAATCAAGAGGATGCTGACCATTCGGCCTTTCGGCCAATACTTTAAATGGGGATCGGTCGAAGAACTTCCAAATGACTTCGGCCTGCTTCCATCAAGCCTTGGTCGAGAAATATATATATATATATATATTTATATATATATAAAAGAGGTGAAGAATAATGGTGACTCAGTCAAAGAATGTAGTACTGGTGCTCGGCTATAGCAGTTTAGTAGTTCCATTCGGCCTATACACACATTTGGGACATTTAGTCACTTGATTGAGACAAGAGGAGGAAAAGTGTCAGGCAGTCCACTTATTAATGAAGACCAGGTTGGGACCCCATAATGAGGTTCGAGATATAGAAAATGACCCACTTTTGGTGGCCATTCGGTGTATGCAAGCTACATCCTTTCTTGGTAGTAGAATGTGATAGAAATGCATGGCCGACAATTCATTTCAAACCTTGGTTTTAACGTCATTGGAAAAAACAAAAGTTTTTTTTTAGGGCCGAGCTCGGCCAACTCGTCGGCCCACTTTACAAAACTATATGGCCGAATAAAAGAAAGTTTGGCCGAATACAATGGGATATATATATATATATATATAGTTTCTACACCCAATTCTTTTTGGCCTCGGCCTCGGCCCACTTTACAAAATTATATGGCCGAATACAATTCTTTGGCCGAATAAACGAAAGTTTGGCCGAATACAATGGGACATATATATATATATATATATATATATGTATGTATGTATATGTATATGCCATTTAATGTTCAGCAGAGGTAGGGGCATTTTAAGTATTCTATTTGGTAGAATTATGAAGTGCTGTTACGCTTAGTTTCCTTAACCATTCGGCTTATGGGCCGAAGCTCGAGGAAACTGGGGGGCAATGTTTGGACCCAATTTTACATTATAGGCCCGAGTAATCTAGACCGTTGAATGAGCATAGCTCTCAACCGTTGGATGGCAGAATTGTTAAGATAATTGAAGGATATATTGTGGTTTTAATCATGATATTATCTTTATATTTCCTTGAAAAAGATGAGGTGCAGATTATATCTTCAACTTGAAAGTAAGCAGTACAGTTCAATTCGATTGGGGATTCTTAGCATTTAGACGTATGCTTGGAGTCGGTTAACCATGCGTGAAGGTTATCTTTTTGTTAATGGTGATGTCTGATGGTCACAAAAAGATAATGGTGCGGCATATTCCGAGTTGGGATGATTATTAGCACATAATTTTATGCTAATAATTAGCATATTCTTCAGGGCAAGCACGGCATGGGCTAAGGTGCTTAAATTTTGATGATGCATGCACTTGGATGCAAACATGGGCCTTAACATTGCATGGTTCCTCAGGAAGATGTTATAGAAAGAGTTTCATGTGCATGCAAATTGGTCTGATTCCATCAAAATAGCCAACGAGGATGGGTCACTGTTAAACGGCTAAATGGGATGGTTATCAAGAGTTTTTATTTGTATTAAGTACTTATCTTCGAGAGATTCAAATTGTGGCCAGCTACGGATGTTCCACGGGAAACACATATAGAACCACGTACTCGTCCTTATAAATACAAGACATTGTGCAACATTAGGGGAGACCTCCAATTAAACACACAACTGCCCTGCGCAAAATTTCTCAAACATCTTGAGATTTTTTATTTTCTTTTTTCCGCCGACACATCTTCAGTTTGGATAAACAGCACTGTGAAGGCAACCGGCGAACATCTTCAGTTTGGATAAACAGCACTGTTGCCGTAGAATCAGCCGTTCCCGAAGCACCTTCAGTTTGGATAAACAGCACTGCGTCGAGGTCGACTGGTTATCTATCCAAGTCTCGGTCGAGAAGGATTTTCAAATCCTTATTGGCAGAGGTCATCTCATTAGCCTTCTCGGCGAAGTGAGGTGTTACCAGGTTACTACATTCGGCACCTTGGGAGCCGAATTTGATATTGAACTTCGTAGAACTAGCAGCCTTGTCTTCAGGCTCGAGAATCCAAAGGCCGAGATTTGTTCCTTCCTCGGCCGCAGTCGCAAGATAAAGAAGTCAACAACGCGCTCAACGCAACATCAACAAATTTTACTCCTCGGCCGAGCTCGGCCGACGAGTTGGCACGCCCCGCATTCAACCGAAGGACGTAGTTAGCTTATTAGTTACTCGGCCTGCGCGCCACGTAGGTTCTGTAATTTTTGTAGTCAACAATATTATAGTACCGCTAGTTTCAACTGCCACGCACTATTCTACGGCGCTAGGCGGTTGGTCACCGTCCCGATTAATGCCTATGCGTTTGAAAATTAAAAAATGGCCCATAGACCTACTGAGGCACCCGCCCAGACTTGCCTAGGCATCAACTCACTTAGGCAGAAAGTTGATAACTTTCATTTGCATTTTATTTTTTTTCAATAAATTATAAGAGTCTTGCTGAATACTTAAATGAGCATACATTATATGTTTGTTCCCTATGTTTTCATTATGTTCCAATACTTCATAATATACGTGTCATTCTATTTTGTAGTTTATGATGAAATTATATATATTTTAAGTATAAACATACACTTATTTTCATGAAATATAATGGATTTAGTTAAATCCGCCTAGTCCGCCTAGGTGCCCACCTAGACCCTGCCTAGCCGCCTAGGTGTTAGGCCCCAGCTCGCCGCCCGACTAGCGTCTAGTGTTTTTTAGAACCTTGCTGCCTCGTGTTGATCCTTAACATATCTTAGGATCAAGGCGTGACATGAGTTCCCTACATCTATGTGGGAATTGAATTCTGGGTTGCTGGGGAAATCTAGAATAGATTCTTCCTCCCCATTATCCCCTCACTTATTTCTAAAATTTCAAAATTACCATTTGCATTAACCCAACACCACCAACTGGCTAGTTTAATATGAAATTTAACAATAATTAAAATAAAATAATAAATTAATTTTTGTGTGTTTAGTATTTGGTGAATAAAGGCATTTAACATTTTTTTTCTATTAATTAGTATATAAAATTTAACCAAAAAATTAGTATATAAAATAATTTATTTCAACCAAGGGTATTTTAGTAATTATATTGATTTCCATTCTGATTCAGGTGAATTAGTAAACAGTTTATATAAAATCTATACCCATTATATTCCAATTCCAGAAGGTTTTACTAAACAACTCCAACAAAATCGAATTTTGACTCATCTCTATTCCAACTCCTTATCAATTTCATTTCTCCTCAATTCAATTCCTTCTATTTGATTATAGATTAGTAAACGAGCCGTGAAAGTAATTATAAGTGTACAGTACATGAGTGTGAGAATCAACACGCTACAATTAATTGTCAATATGTCGAGTATCTTAAAGTATTATGTTTGAAGATTTTGCGTTATATTATCTATATTCAGTACATCACTTGAAACAATTTAAGCTCACTTGAGCTTTAAAGATGTTGGAACTCACATGGCACGCCAACAGCTTGAGCTTGAAAAAATGTTGAGAAATGCTAAGGAGACTTTCAAAAGATGAGACTTTCTATATAATCTCTATCATCTCGTAGTTTAACATCAATTGCCCTGCTAACATGATAAAACATTATGCAAAAAAACATGTGACAGAGAATCTAGGAGAGTCCCACTTTTTTTTATGGGCAAAATAAAACTTTAAATTAAGATAAAGAGAAACCCGGGGACACCCAAGGCCTCAACAGTCAAACAACAAAGCATTTGAAGCTTGTTTAGGAATACAACCGTCCCAAATGAAAAGGTTTTTGCAGTGATGTCCAATGGCATCTGCAGTAAAATTTGCTTCTCTAAAAATGCGGTTCCACGGGATTAGATCAAATGAGGTGGAGAGCCATCTCATATCTTCCAGAATGGCATGAATTCTCCAAGGAACAACACATTTCCCTGCAACAATCCCCTTCAACGATGATCTTCCTGAGCCCACAAATTTTGCAAGATGCAGGGTATCCCTCAAAGCCAATGCCTCAGCAGTGGTAATTTGGAAGTCTGCATTTCTTTCCATGAATGTTGGACGCGGTGAGCAATTGGTTGGATTGCGCATAGAATTTCCCATCGTATATTCGATTTGAGCAGGATTTTTTTTGTTTTTTTTTTGGACCGTTGAAATTTGCAATCGTAGGGTCAAAATTTATGAAGCTTCCAGTTCCATCCATTGTGCGTTGAATAATTTACTAGAAGACAGTACAAACGCGCGCACTCATGCTAGCCACGAATCCAATGGCGTTGTCTCAAAACAAACAAATATAAACTCTCAAAAAAGCCAAGACCTTTCCTTTCTAGTTTCTAGCGATGGCCATGGCTTCTCTGAGCTCTCTCCCTCACTCTCTACATTCCTCGCCTTCTACTTCTTCTGCAAACCATGTTATTCCAAGCAAACCACCCTGCCCAAAACGCCTCCGTTTTCGTTCGTCAAATCGCCGTCACACCAAAAGCTTTGCTCTGAGAGCAGCTGTGGACGAGGTTTCTGTTCTCGAACCGCCGCCGTCTTCCGGAAGCAAAACCACGCCCAACCCTGAACTTGTAGCGTCTTTAAAGCTCAAGCTATTGGTATGTTCTCAAGCTATTGGGCATTTTTCTTTAGCTTGCTCAATTTTTTTTTTTTACAGTTATGGATTTGATTGCATTTGGTACAGTAATTTTATTCTATTTTGGAATTTGGAGGCAAATCTAGTAGTTGGTAACTTGGTGGTGAAATCATTGTGCTTTTGTGTAACTGTTATCGGTATCTCATTACAAATTCTCTGCAGCATGCTGTTATGTTGAAACATCCACATCGATCGCATCTATGTGAAAAGAAGTGTTTAAATATCCTAACTGCACTCCAACTAATACCGAGGCCTTTTGTGATAAAACCCCACACCTGACGGATTGTGCAGGTGCCGGGTGGTAATTACCAAGGGGACAATATCAGTGTTGTTGGAAGTGGTGTCCTTCAACACAAGGATATCTCTATTTGGTGTTGTTGGGTTCCTTTGTACTTCCCTATGATTATATGAGTTTTTCGCTTTGTGTCGAGTATTGGTTTTATGATCAGAGGACAACAGCAATCATGTTTGTGCTTAACAATTGTGAGTGAAATATTTTGTAATGAGTATATGAAGGCTGATATTACTAGTATAGGATTTCAATAGAGGCTCTTGAAAAGCCTTTTTAAATTTTTGGTCACCTATGTTTGTAATTCAGTTTATTAACTCTTCTTAGAAAGTTGATTTCGCAACAAGGTTCTTGATATACGGATTCATCAGTAATTTCCTATCTGTGGAGCAAAATCAAATCATGTCCTCCAATTTACATCTCTTTTATATCACAGCTTCATCTTTAAAGTATGGCTTTAACTGTTGTCACATAAAATGGCAATGTGCACATGCGCGCTTGCGAATGTGAATTTAACTGTTCGTGCTTTCTACCATCGTTTTTTCAATTTGTGTCTAATCCGATGCAGAGTGCTGTTTCTGGGCTAAACAGAGGTCTTGCAGCATCGGGAGAGGATCTACAAAAGGCAGAAGCTGCTGCCAAGGAGATTGAAGCTGCTGGAGGTCCAGTGGATATCTCAACTGATCTTGATAAACTGCAAGGGAGATGGAAATTGATATATAGCAGTGCATTTTCTTCTCGTACTCTAGGTGGGAGCCGTCCTGGACCTCCCACCGGAAGGCTACTCCCAATTACCTTAGGCCAGGTACTCATCTACTATATTCCTGGACGCCATTGATATACTTTCACCCATTTGCATGTTTGCTAACTATGAACAGCAATTGAAATATTACACAATATATGAACACCAAATGACTTTACCTGATCCTTTTTAGAAACTCAAATGCCCCAAAGCGCAGAAAGTCTTTTAAGTTTTTAACCATTGAGTCTGCAAAACCATTGCAGATTGCATCATTAGTTTGAATTTCCTTCACCATAGCTTTAGGAAGTTGATCATTTGTACTCTTTATTAGTGTGGATCTTTTTCCGTTTACCTCCTTCCCATATCCTGTTCGCAGTGCCCAGCGAGTATGAAAACTTTTTCTTTGGTAAGGAAGAAACCTTGCAGGATAGAAAGCCATAGACTAATACAGAAACTTCACTCGGAAAAATACAGAGGCTCTACTCTCAGTAAACCATATTGTATAAATGTGCGGAGGATTTCGTGAGGAATCCGTTTGAACCTGTCTTTCTTTTGTAGTTAAACTGTCCATCGTAGCTAACGAAGTTCTGAAGTAAAACTTTGGAATAGTTCGTTTGAAATACATTAAATTTGTTCGACCTCAACTTGGGCCTAGGATTTCAAATAGCAGCAGCATATGTCTATGTATCCCTTGACAATACGCGTGCCCGCACGCACAACATACGAACAGTTGGAAGGGGGAACGTTTAAGATCTGCTATGTGAAGGTGTAGTAGATCATCTGGAACTTAAATTAACAGTTTTATGAATTAAGTAAACTCAGATAAACAACCTACGTTGTTAGAGTTTAACTGGTTAAGATCTTCTGTCTGACCCTATGTTGTTTAGTCCTTGTCATTGTCTTACATCATACCAAAATTTACCATGTATTGAATATTCGTTATTCGTTGATGATTTTGCTGCTCCGAAAGTAACATATGTTATGCAAATAGGTATTTCAACGGATTGACATCTTCAGCAAAGACTTTGATAACATAGTGGAGCTTGAACTAGGTGCTCCATGGCCCCTGCCGCCCATTGAAGCAACTGCCACTTTGGCCCACAAATTTGAACTCATAGGTACTTATGAACTCTCTTATTTGGTGTATTTTGGTTTACGTAGCAACTTATGAATGTGACATAAACCAACGAATGACCTTTTAATAATTACAGGATCTTCCAGGGTTAAGATCATTTTTGAGAAAACTACTGTGAAGACTACTGGAAACTTATCGCAGCTTCCTCCATTAGAGTTACCTAAGTTACCAGAAGGACTACGACCTCCGTCTAACCCAGGAAGTGGTGAATTTGACGTAACCTACCTTGATGCTGATATCCGCATCACCAGAGGAGATAGAGACGAGCTGAGGGTTTTTGTTGTTTCATAGTTTTCCTCGCGTCTTCTTGGTGTCGTTTGATCATATGTTGTTACTTCCAATTGTTGTATGCATGAACCGGTGGATGGAGGTTCCGGGAAATGTTCAACGAGGAACAACACTGTTTACGTGTAAATTTTGTAATCGATAAAGTGAATCGTCTTTGTCACTTGGATTGTATCTGCATTGCCCTTTCAAGTGATATCTACAGGAGTTTATAGGCACACTGGCATTCAGCAGTTTTGCTGCTGGTTTATCCAAATTTTGATGGTTGTGGCCCTTGTGGGGTGTTAGATAGGAGTTTTAGCTGAATCTTGACATGTTTAACACAACAAATAAAGACATTACTTTTATCAACATTTGAGGGGAGTATTGAATTGTGTTCTGTAGATGTGGTTGTTAAATTAGGCAACATTTTAAAGTGCATTGCTATTTTATTGAATTTTCTGCATTTGCGATTGAGGGTAATCAAAGTACAAAAACAAGATGCAGAGCTAGAAAGGCCAAAAATTAAAAGGGTGGTTGAATTTGTGTGTGACACTGGACAACAAGTGTATTTAGAGTTAATTAATACTTTTTTGGATAAATGATTAGATTAGTTACACTAAATTTATCTAACTTTCAATGAGGGGGAATAATTTTGAACCCAAGAAACAATGAGTTGAAGACAACTTGTCTCTTGGTTGAAATGCAAAATTAAACCTTTGAAATAAATGCATTTGGCTGAGTAGAAAACCTCAAGTTATGCTGTCACTCCCTTTTTATTTGGGGCTAGTTTGAGGTGGTTGTGTGTGTGTGTGTGTTTTTTTTTTTTTTTTATTTATTTATTTTTTTTTAAATTGTTTGGTGTGAGAATAAATAACTGTGAAAAAAGCAAATAAATGTTTGGTAAACTATAGTGTTAAAAGTGTTTTTAGCAAAAGAAAGATGGGGTAGAATTGTCAATATGAAAGTTTCACTAATTGATATTGTTCATCTGCCTCCAATGAAAAAAATGTTTTAAAGCTTATTCTACTTTCTACTGTTTTGAATCATGATTTCGGAAAAAGGAACTTTTTTTTTTCTTTTTTTTTTTTCATTTACCAAATATATATAAGACCTCAACTTTTCTAAGAAGTTGGCTTTAAAAGAATTTAGTCAATTTCAAACCAACCCTTAATGCCTTGAGAAAGATATGCACCTCTAAGACCAACTCCAATGGTTGGGCTAAAAGCCAAATTTTTTAGCCCAAAAAATTTAGCTTTTAGCCCAGAAATAGCTTTTCTATTCCAACCATTCTGAGCTAAAATTTTAGCCTGGAATTATTAAAGAATGAACTTAGGCTATTTTTTTTCTTAAATTAAATTAAATATATATATATATATATATATTATCGTAAATTAATTTTATAAACATTTTAATCTAAAAATATTTAAATTCCGATAAATATTGAAAAATCACTAAATTTTTCACAAAGTAAGCCTTCAACTTTCACCAATCTTTCAACCCTGGGCTAACTTTCAATTCACTAACCGTTTAACACCAAATTTTCTACATCAACGTGTGGAATAATAAGTACAATAGTTATTAAAGGCATCTAGATTAATAGAAACAATAATTAATAAGACATAAATTTAATAAAGTACATAAACCACATAAACTTAATACAACGGATAATTCATAAACCACATAATTAATAAACTACATAAACTTAATACAAACGATAATTAATAAACTTAATTAATAAAGCACATAATTCATACACTACATAAACTTAATAATCATATCCACCATCTTCACTTGGTGATGGACTTCTTACAGGACTTGGGATATAGGGTTCAGAGGATTCATCATCTTGAAACATACTCCTTTGGGCAGACTTTCACACAATTTCCTTTTGCTTACCACGTAAGAACTTCCTCCTCTCTGGAGTGTATTTGCTGAGGTCCTCCATTTTCAAACCTAACTCCCTCCCTATCCGAGATTTCCTTCATTTGCAAACGCATTCAAGCCGATTCTTCTTGGCGAACGCTATGGGTTTCGTTCAATTTTGCAATTCCGGTAGCAAAGTGTCCACTCATTGGATCTTGGGACTTACCTTTTCTCTTTGCTTCCTTTTGCTTATCTCATCCCGGGGATGCAAAAGAAGGAGATGGTGTCATTTTATCGACACCTTCATCTCCAGCATTTGTCTGTGTGGCTTCACGTTGAAATAATCTTCCCCATTGTTGGTTCGTATTAGTTCCCCACCTCGAACAATCCTTGAGGACGTTCCAAGCATGTTGCAACTTAAAAACTTCATTTTTTGGTGTTACTCTTGTCTTGTAAATTTCCATTGCTTTGTCACCCTATGCAAAAAATACATAAAAATAATTAGTTGCAAAATAATATTATGTACATGACAAATAAAATATCAAGAACAAAACTCACAATTTATGTGGCACTCCTTCCACTAGCCATGCCAACCACGGCTTTCTCCAAGCTTCCATTCCATAAAGTGCATGCTTTGTTGATAGTCTTCCACCGATCATAAACACCACTGTCGTCTCGCCTGCCGCCATTGCAATTTCTTGAAACTTTGCAATGATTTTATCCCACAAAACCTTGTTATTTTGATTTGTGTCAACTGTACCATCTTTGTTAACAGAAACCCATGCCAAGCATAAGGCAACATCTTCCTCACAGGTCCAATTACAACCTCTAATATGCTCTCTTGCCATGTTGAACAATTTGGAAATGGAAATAAATGATAGAAAGATAAATTGGAAGAATTGTAGGAGAAAATTGAGTTTTGTGTGGATGTTTGAACAAATACATACGTATTTATAGAGTTTTTGGGTGAATTTTGAGTTAAATAATTTTTTTTTAATTATTTTAGCCGTTGGATTTAAATTTGGGTCGTTAGATCTTTTTTTTACCATTAGATTTGATTATATTCGATCTCAGCCATTGGATTCAATGTATTTTAAAATAACATATTCTAAAAAAAAAAAAAATTTGAATCTGGACCGTTGGATCAACCAACGGTCCTTAAACCCCAGCCATTGGATATCAATTATAGTTGTTGGGATGATGATGCTAGTCAACAACCAGTTGACTGCGGGGCCCACCCCTGTCGGGAAAGTATTGCAGGCCCCGTGCATGGGGCACGTACGTGTGTGGGCAGGCCGAGAGTGGCCCAAGTTCCAGCGAGTCCATTCGCATGGGGGGGGGGGAGGGGGGAGTATTTGGCCCAACTTTGGTATTTGGCTTTTAGCCCAAAGATTTAGCTTGGGTTAGAATAGGTTTGAGGGGAAAATAGGAGGAGAATTTGGTATTTAACCCATTGTTGGAGATGATCTAATCAAAAATCATTTTTATGGACCCAAAAATACAAAAAAAAAAAAAAAAAAAAAATTAGATTCGCCCCTTTTGTTTATTAAAAGGAGCGTTGCGGATAGTCCCAATGTGAAACGATTTGCCACTCACAAGTCAATTTTGAAAAATAAAATAAATTAAAATAAAAAATAAAAGAAGAAAACTAGACGTTACAAATGACAACGGCTATATTTTTGTTTCAAAGTTTGAGTAGAATTCTGAAAGCCCCTCATTTTCAAATCACATTCCTTTCCAAGACTCTTCTTTTTCATCTTTCTCTTTCTCTAGCTTCCTTTCTCTCCCCAGTCTCATCGACTCTGTAAATCCAGATCAAATCTTGAATTCTTGAACCTTACAAATGGCTCCGACGCCGTCTTCTTCCAAATCAAACCACTCTCACACAACCCAGTTCAAGACTCCGCTATCCAAGCACCGCCTCCAGTTCCCGAAAGTGCACCCATCTCCGAACCCAAACTCCGCCGTAAAAGATCCACCGGCGGAGCACCCGGTCGAAGTTCTAGCCCGAATCCGAGACCACCCAGATCGAAAAGAACAACCCGCATCGGTTCTCCAGATCAATCCTCAGAGGCAGAGTATTCGTGTCCGGGCCGATTTTGGGTACAGGGATTTCACGCTCGATGGAGTTTCGTTATCGGAAGAAGACGATCTGGGGACGTTTTACAGCAAATTTGTCCAGTCAAGGATTGACAGTGTGAAATTGGGAGAAAAATGTACGATCATGATGTACGGCCCAACTGGGTCGGGCAAGAGTCACACCATGTTCGGGTGTTGCAAGCAGCCTGGGATCGTTTACAGGTCGTTGAAAGATATTCTCGGGGATGGGGAAAATGCCGGCGGTGCCGCGGTTGGGTCGTATGTGCAGGTCACTGTTTTAGAGATTTACAATGAGGAGATTTATGATTTGTTGCCGAGCAACAGCGGCGGGGGATTCGGGTATGGATGGCCAAAGGGCAATGGCTCCAATTCTAAGGTGAAAATTTTAGCTGGGTCTCTCTTTTTTTATCGAGTTCTTGATGATTTATGACTCTTCCATCAAATTTTCTCTCTGTAGAACTGTAAGTTTGGATTTGGAAATGGGTTTTCTGCAAGTTTGAATTTTTAGATTTGTTTGTGTTGGCTCACTGTAAATTTCATTAAATTGGTTGTGTTGGCTTAAATTGGAGAGAACTTATTATATCACTCTTAAGACTGTCAATTTTTAAGGATAAATTATTGTGAACTCAGTGTAAATTTGGTTAAGCTGCTTGTTGGCTAAAATCAAGGGAAATTGCTCCAGTTCTAAGGTGATTTAATTTGGATTTCGAAATGGATTTTCAGTCAAACTTTGGATTTTTAGCTTTGATTGTGTTGGCTCACTGTAAGTTTGGCTAAGTTGGTTATGTTGGCTTAAATTAGTGAGAACTAATGTACAAATCTTACGGGCTGTCCTTGTTTGAAGGTACATAGTTTCGCTGCAATTTTCTGTACTAATACTTGTGTCTGCAGCAATTTTCTGTACTAATACTTGTGTCTGCAGGTTAGGCTTGAAGTTATGGGGAAGAAGGCAAAGAATGCAACCTACATTTCTGGAAACGAAGCTGGGAAAATTTCAAAAGAGATTCAGAAAGTGGAGAAAAGAAGGATTGTTAAGAGCACCCTTTGCAACGATAGAAGTTCTCGAAGCCATTGCATGGTAGATTCCCTTGAACTTTCAACTATATGGTAATTCTTTCCGAGTATTGTTATGTCACCAGTTGGATGTGACTTGCTTTCTATTTCTGCACAGATAATCCTTGATGTCCCAACAGTGGGAGGATGCTTGATGCTTGTGGACATGGCTGGATCTGAAAATATTGAGCAAGCTGGCCAAATTGGGTTCGAGGCAAAAATGCAGGTAATTTCTCGGTGGTGGTGCTTAATCTATGCTTGCATTGTTGCAACAATTTCTTTGGCATTGTAACGATTGCTTATTTTTGCTTACATTGAATTCACAGACTGCAAAGATCAACCAGGGAAACATAGCTCTGAAAAGGGTGGTTGAATCCATTGCCAATGGTGATTCTCATGTGCCCTTCAGGGACAGCAAACTGACCATGCTTCTACAGGTAACTTCTATTCACACTGATGCCGGTTACTAAGGTTTATACGGTGCCTACCTTGTAAGAGTATGTGGATGATGGTTCTTACGTTCTTTCTGTACAGGATTCTTTTGAGGACGACAAGACAAAAATCTTAATGGTCCTGTGTGCAAGTCCAGACCCAAAGGAGATACACAAGACAATCTCCACCCTTGAATATGGTGCAAAAGCAAAATGTATTGTCCGCGGACCTCATACGCCAATCAAGGACAAAACTGGGACTGAAGATTCATCTGCAGCTATTTTAGGATCAAGGATTGCTGCCATGGATGAATTTATCCTAAAACTGCAAAGGGAGAATAAGCTCAAAGAGAAAGAGCGGAATGAAGCACACAAGGAGCTAATGGATAAAGAAGAAGAGGTTGCTGCATTGAGATCTAAACTTGAGCTTATGGAAGGGAAGGGATCAGGGGCAAAGGAGGAAGAAATCAACTTGAAGGTGAATGAAGTGGCCCAGACTCTGAAAAATGAGTTGGAAAAGAAGTTGGCAGAATGCCAGAGAATGGCGAATGAGTTTGTTGAACTCGAGAGAAGGAGAATGGAAGAAAGGATATTGCAACAGCAGCAGGAAGTTGAAATGCTGAGGCGGCGGTTGGAGGAAATTGAGCTTGAACTTTGCCGCTCAAGCTGATGGAAATGGTAAGGAAAGCGGGTCAAAGGAGCCTGATGGAATGCAGTTTGCCAAAAGGTTGTTAGGAATCTATGCCAGTGATGATGCAGGAGGAATGGTAAAGTCAATGGATTTAGACATGGATGATCAAGAAACGTTTGCTCGGGAGATCAAATATGTAGGAGTGGTTCCTGGGGTTGCTTATGCATCTGACAGCAATAATGTAAACACTGCACACATTGATTCTTTTGAGCCAAAATATGCTGACAGGGTATGCCTGAGCACTGTTTTTGAGGAAGAAGAAATGGAAGAAGAGGAAGGAGCTAACAAAAATATGGAAGCTGAAGAGGTTGAGAAAGAAGTTATAGAGGAAAAGAGAGTGTGTATGGTTGATGGATCTAGCTTCAGGAGTAATTATAATGTGGACTCCCTGACATCTTTACCTCAGGATTATCAAGATACACCAACTGTGCTTCGGCAAAGCAGAAATCCAGAGGAAGAAGATAACAATGGAAAACCAGATGATAGGCTTGTCAGAATCCGCAACATATTTACACTCTGTGGAGATTACAGAGAGATCTCTCAGCATATCCCACGTCCAGCACCTACTGTTGCATCAGTTAAATCAGAAAATGAGCAGAAACTGGCAGAACCAGAGACAAACAAAAGCCGAGTGTGTGACGAGACAGCATTGGCCTCCAAGGAAAACTACGACCCTTTAAATGAGGGCACTGACTCGGATACTGCAGAAGTGTATGTGAAATGGGAAGCTTCAAAAGAAAATCCAGGGAAGTTCATTACAACACTTAAGGTTGTAAAAAACGCAACCCTTGCTGAGCTCCGAAAGTTGATTGAAATCTATCTTGGTGCAGACAATCAAGCATTCACTTTTGTCATGCTTGGAGTTGGGGTAAGTCTCAAACCTCTTAACATGCTAGGCTACACGGTCTATTTTCTCTTACAATTGTATCCTGATAAATTTCCTATCATCCATAGAATGCAGCATGATAGGTTGCAACTTATGCAGTTCATTAGTATATTTTCTGTTTTCGATAGAATGCTCAAACATAGAATTCTTTAGCTGATTGAGGAACACGAAAAACTCCATCTAACTACTCTGTGGATACTTGACGCGCAGGACCCTAGTGGAGCATCAGGTAGCGAAGGAGAAGGAAGCAGCAACTCAGACAACAAAGCTTCCCCTACACAACAATCAATCAAATTGGTACCTGGCCTGCTTGAGACCACTGAAGGGAATGCAAAGCCCAAGTAGGCTTCTCCCATTAAGTCCCCTACCATTGAAATTGCTGGAAAACAGGCTACCAGTCACTCCGACTTCCTGCTTCTCAGTCCAAGGTGGTGATTGTACGACACCCAAAGTAGCACCAAACTTAGGTTCTACTCCATATGTTACTGTCAGAAGACAGTAGTAGTACTCAGACAGTGCAACTTTTGTAATGAAAACGCACAATATATTATATGAATGTGTTTCTTTTGATACATATTACTGTTCTGATTACATCATTTGACCAAAACTGTCGTGCCTAAGATTACGTGACCACTGAAGGTGCCTCTCTCTGACCAAAATTGACCTATACACCGCGACTCGCTAAAACCATAAAACCTATTTTTAATGAATTAAATTCATGAAAACATCATAAGAATGTACAACGGACAATTAGATGCAACAATTAAGGAGTTGGCACATCTCAACTTCTCTGCCACCTGCTGATCTATCCTATTGTGTCATGGACTCCAGCCAAGGTTCTCTGAAGACCAAAAATCGACACAGGTTGGTTGCCATTCTTGTTCATTGTTGTCGTGGACGGTGGATCCCTCTCAAGTATCGAGATGGCATCAACGTATTGCTGTATTATTCCACTTTTATAGTGTAATCTAGTTGGTGTGAGTACATGTTTTCTGACGAGTGACAGAAAGAGAAATGAACTTCTTGAATCTTGATGGAATTAAAGACTGTTTGAATGGTGGAATAGACGATCAAAAGCAACAAACAATTTTGCAGTCAACCAAAAGGCATTTAATTGCAAGCAAGCAATAGATTTGTAGCTTCAACAAGTTATATTTCTAAAGGAGAAATCAAGGAACTGAACATTAAACATAAAAGTTGATCTAATACTAGAAAGATTATTACCAGACATTGGCGTCACTTGACATTCGGACAGAATCAACCCTTTATGTGATTTTCAATCGAAGAGATGTGATGTCGATTTTTGTGAAAACACCAAGTGGAAAGATGGTTAAATTTGAGGTTAAGGTCTTGTAAACTGTCCGGGATGTCAAGGCAATTGTTGAGAGCTTTATAGAATGCCTTGGATTTCTATGACACTCCACTTTAGAAGTTTTGCCCCTCTGGTTTCAGATATTCATTAAGATGTGGAGTGGGAAAACCATTACACTTGATGTGGCACGAAAGAGCACTGTCAGAGAGATGAAGGACAAGATATTTTGCAAGGTTAGAGTGCGAGTTCGTGTTCAGAGTATTGTAGTTGCCGGTAAATGCCTTGATGATGAATGCTGTCTTTCAAGTTACAACATTCAGAAAGGCTCCACTCTCCACATGGTTTTGGGTTGGCGAACCAAATTCCCCTATCATTCATCATTCACAAGAAATTCAAGATAGAGTTGAACTTCTGTCAGGTGCTATTCGAATCTTTTCTTTTGGTTTCGATGAAGATGTATAGTGTTTACCATTGAAAGTTGTATATAAAATAATCTCCATCTCATCCTATATGTTTTGCAACAGATTTTACTGTTTTTCTTTTCTCATATTTTCAGATTACAAAATTAGATAGATAAAATCGATCCAGTCAGTTATCAGTCAAGAAATATAGTGTTCAAATAGTAATTCATACGGTCGCATATAAGAAAAAACGATCTAATTTGAATGCTCTCACTTTCCGCAACACACAGGCTTTGTGCTGTACTTTTATCATTAATTATAAGAGCATTCTGTTGTTGCTTACAAGGTTTAAGTACTTACATTTGGCTCTGGAGAAAAGGATCTTGTCAAGTTGATCTACAACCGGCAGCGTAAGAATGCCTTGATTCACAAGGAACAAAATTTTGGAAACAATCTGAGTTCTCTAGAACGAATTTTCGTTAGAACGATTAACATTCAGATATATGAAATAATTTATTCTTGATTCTTTCATGAAATCTTTTTTTACAAGAGGAGGTTTTACAAGAAGAGTTGCATAAAAATTATGCATAGCAGCACTCAAAGTCCTTCGGTGAATGAGATGAATGTCCGCCGGAGACTGAATCTGTTTTTGACATAAATTGGAGCATGGATCCCCTCTTTTATTGTGGTGTTTTTGACCTCAATTGCTTCCTCTTGTCAAACTGAATTTTGAGATGGCAGCAGAATAAAATCTTTAGGCTGGAGAAGAACCTCTTACGCGAGTTTGGAAACAACATGAACCAAGAAAAAATCCTCTGATAGAGTGAGAGAATCAAACACCGGGCTGTCGTAGACTCATTCGACTCTCAACTTTGTTTTGACGTATTCTAGACGCAGTAAGAGTGCATAAATTGGAAACCAAACTTCTCAAATCTCACTTGCAGCTTTGCAAGTCACAGCTATCAACATGACAAATGAAAAATAAAAAATGATCAATGAAGTAAGCAAGCAGAAGTCTCACATTTTTGGTTTCGAGGGTTTATGTTAAGCCCTCAATTTGTGCATTTAGTTCACGTTATTCCCGCCAGAAAACCCCTCAGAACTTTTCGCTTCTGCCAAAACGGGGTGCATTGGACTTTCGGTACTCTTGCATGATCCATGCTCCGAACCTTCCAATGAAATATCGGTCATAGAATTCTGGCCTTTTGATCTGTTTGCCCTCCTTGATGACCTCGATGACCCACCTTCAGATGACCCCTTTTTCCTCCTTTGCTTTGGTATTCCAGGACGGTCTTCTCCGGGTGATTCCGATCCAAGATTGTTAGAATTCCGGCTTTTTCTTGAATGACGGCTACTACCTTCTTTAGACTCATGAGATGGAGTACCCATTGCTCCTTCCTTGGAGCGATGGCGCCTAGAATGCTTCTTTGACCCATCAGAGCTCTTCTTGGTTTGGGAACCTTCAGATTCACCTGTGGAATGGTGCCGAGACCTTGGAATGTCATTTTGCTGCACCAATTCTTGGGCAGCAAGGCTTGTTTTATGCATATCTGCAAAAGACAGTGATCAATGTTAATGTCGCGTCAAAATTTTGACATACTATGTTGTCAGATTGTCAATCTGAATAGGCAAGGCTAATACTATGAGGTGGAAAAGATATGTAGTGTTAGAAAAACTGGCAAACCTTGGGAAGCCAGTTCTTCAACAGTCAATTTCCCCGTGGATGGGACTTCCGGCGAAGCACCTTTGAAATCATTCATCTGCAAGATGAATGTCATATAGTCACAATTTTATGTAAAATGGGAAAAATGTGCATCAAATTAAGAATGATCAACTGGTGTGCTTGGATGTTTAAGATCGAGAGACAGGGAGAGAGAGAGAGCGACTTACCCAGCTCGGAGTACTTTTTGTAGACGGACCATCCCATCCAATGTGCGCAACATGCTTAACATCTGTGGGAAATCCAATTTGTATGTCATCATCTTTCTCATCTGCAAAATTTGTAAAACTTGGTCAATCCCCTTGCCCTTTCTTTTCAATTTCTGGTAAAAGATTATTCATATCACCCTGAAGAAATTAAGCAAAAAAAAAAAAAAAAAATCCTCCAATATTTTATTTTGCACTGTTAGTTCTCTCTGACGACAGGAACTGCATGCTAATTTCACCAAGAACATCTGTTGAAATGAGACACTGCACAACTATATAACCAAAACTCATGACAAGAAACCAAATGAATTTAATTAATGTTCGAAAAATCAATTGAGATTGCACGTACCAAACATTTGCGAAATGTATCTGAGACCTTTCAAGAGGCCCTTCACCTTGGTTCCCATTTTGTTGGTTCAAGTGCTTCAGGACATGCACTTCCGAAGAAATCTTCAGGCAGGAAACTAAGTTGCAAGTGTAGTGCGCACGGACAGCAGCGCTTATTCTGAACGTCAAATGCAAAGAAAGCAACAACGTGTATGACAAGCTCCCTAATCATGAAAACCACAAAAAGGAGAGAAGAATCAATACTACCACAGCAAATTGGAAACTCCACTTCCCAAAGAATATTCATTAGTTGGTAGTTCCCACACTGTTTGCGAAAATTTCCTAATTGATCCCAATTAACGTAACACAACAATGTCGAACCCACCTCCCCGTTGATCCAAAAGTATGTAACACGAAAAATCCAAAACACAGAAAATATGTAGGGTTTGGTACCTTGAGAAGAAAGGCATTCAGCATAGTACATCAAGGTTTAGCAATGTGAAGCAGACATAATTATAAATGTTGCCAAGCCAACACAAACAACCCAACTGGGCAAAGAGAGGTCTCATCTCTTCTCCAAAAACCAATTTACAAATTCAGATTTGCAAATGTGGAATGTGGTGCCATGGGGCCTGAACTAATTTTTTCCGTGAGTCGGAAAATCCGAAAAGAATCAGAATTGAAATGAGAGCACAGGTTTTGTTGGATGATCCGGCGGCGATGCAGCGCTCGTTTCCGGTGGCAGGTCATCAAAACCTATAGCTCACCGGATTTTCGGGTGCGAAAGTGAGAGAGAGAGAAGTAGAAATGGCCAGAACCATAGGCTAAATTTGGGCGAGAGGGGGCCTGTTAACAGTTTTTCAGTGAATGCGCGGCAAAGGCGGTTGGGAAAAACAATTGTGTGGCGGTTGTGGAATTGTACTAGTTGCTCACATCTCATTTATCCTCCTCTTCCTAATTTTTGGAGTATCTTTTAATTCATCCACAACAACTCACTACAATAAATCATTTGTATAATAAAAGAATAAAATTTGCAAATTACCATGTCTTCCTAATTTTTTTTTTGAACAAACAATATTTATCTACACTGGTAAAAATTCTTCCTTGGTGAGAATCAAATCTAATACCTCTTATTTATAAGTGAAAAGGAATATCATTAGACCGTAGTGCTAAGTGACTCCTAATTTATTTATTTATAGGTACAATTGAAAAATTTGTTTTATGACATGTTTACTTGTAAAGTCATGAATTGGGAAGGTTAAGAATATAGGAGATAATGAATTACAATTGAATTAAGGGTAATACTAGGAAGACTAAATTTGTAGACAAAATTTGCAAACTAAATTATATGTCACCAATAAAAATGAGCACTGTTTATCAACGCTTAAGAGAGAATCCAATTATCAACTTGCACTTCATTTAGTTTACAAATTTAATCTCCCTAGCATTACTCTTGAATCAAATATCTACCTTATTTAATCATGACCGAAATATGTTAGGAATTTTAATACATTGTGCTCTTTTTCTTTAATCAACAGAGGCCAAAATTTGAGCTTGAGACCCATTCCGGCCCATTGTACTCTCATCCAACATAAATTTTTGTTCGTGCCCTTATGAACTCTATTTGGCGGCTCCAAATTAGGGAAGAGATCCTTTCCGGATCTCTTCCTTCAAAGTCCATGGAAGTGATTTGGGTCATTGAAATTTGATACAACGGCAAAAAATTATTATAACTTTTAAAAGTTTTAACTAATTTCTTTGTTTTTGGCCGTTTGATCAAATTTCAAGAGCTTTGGATCACTTGATCTGTGGGCTTTGGAGGAAGAGATCATAGAGGATCTCTTTCCCCAAATTAGGACATGATCAATTGCCACATTCGCATACTTAACTAGTTACCTACACTAGTCGTGAGTGAGGATCCTCGCCGGATCCTCCAATCACATTCTTTCATCATACATCGTGCGATCATTTTTCATCAGATAAAGAATTTCCAATAACTTTTTACTGCACAATGTACGATAAACGGATGTAATTTGAGGATTCGACGAAGATCCTCACTCGCTAGTCGTAAAATTTGATTAGCGAGTAGTTGTACATTTTAGATTAACGACATTGTAGATCACACATACTGACGCGAACAGGAAGCACTCACATCAACAACCACCACCTTCAAACATAAGATTAAAAGATGAATGAAAGAAAATAAATTAGGGTTGTAATACCTCTGATGGAGAAATTTCATCTAGTATAAGTGGATTCTACTCTATTAGGTCTAGTGCACAACGTGGTTAATGAAGTTTGTACAAATCTAAAGTGCAACATGTCTATACAACCTATAAGAGTACGGAAAGGTTAATACCCTTTTACGAACTAGCTCATGTCTCATTTACGAGCTAGCCCAAATGGTGAGACAACGTAGGAAGGCGAAGATAAGTCAAGAGTTCGATTCTTTATAGAAAAGAAATCCATATGCTAGGATTTCGGGAAAGGGAACACCACTACCTGCATCATCCATCAGAGGGTTGTTCTTTAGTTTCATCCAATCTCTCATGTCAACCTAAGCATACAAGAAGAAAGCAGGATAATAACTCAAGGCACGAGTGGGCAACGAGCATATAAAACCACATAACAATCAGATACTGTGTAATAAACATCTATAAGTAAGAATTAACATTAAACATAAAATCTAATATCCAAGTGCAGTGTAGGAAAAAGTTGCATTATTTTTCATATTTAAAGTTGAAGGATTGGGACATAATACGGACATGATCCATGGGTACAAGCTTCCTCTCATCAGAAAACCGTCTCAATTACGAAGCCTTCAAATCATCCATGCCCACACTAGTCTGTGTAAACAGAGTAAAGTTCGTCAGCATATATTAACATTTTGTGATGGCAAATCAGTTGATAATTTATTGTCTTCCTTTCTCGTTGTTTCTAAATAGAAAATCAACGGAATTGCAACTCAAGGAAATTATGAAACTTCCCTTCCAACTGAAGGATAACATCTCAGAACGTTGAGTTTTGCTAATCTTACAAAACCTGAGTGACCTTTTAGTATGATGAGTTTCAAAGGCAACAGTTTGGGAAATTTTCAAAAATGAGCATTTTCCTAACTCAATCTTATGTGGCTAATTGATGGAATAGAGTTTCTTTTTTCCTTCAACTTCTCCATACACATCTATTTGTCATTCTAACCAATTATTGTGGTCAATCTATGGCAACCTTCTCATAACTAAACGACGATGTTATAGAAAAAGGCTCTCACTCAATTCGGCAACAGAATGAAACATCTTACCAAAAACTTGTGATTCTCTTGAAGAAGAGGTGTAAAGGCATCGCAGAATTTCTCTATATCACCCATGACATCGCCGTTGCCTTCTATCACCTCCATGAACTTCTTTCTGTCAGGAGCAAGCTTCATGGCAATCTATAATTATAGTGACTAATAAGTCCAAATTTGAAGAGGAAAATGTTCTCGTTCGCAGGGCCCAAACAAAATAAAAAATTTAGGCAGTAAAACACTTAAAAGGAAGCACTGAACTTGCAGAACATAATCGTCTTAATACTATTTTAGGTCCAGCAGAAAAACATCAAGGGACTAAAAACAGTATGAAAACTGGTAGTGCATCAAATAATTGAAGGGATATTGGAGACATTACACTGAAAGTTGAACTAGCAATCCATCCATGCCATTTTTTCAGGGTCTTGCCATAGGAATCTGTACAAGCCTCTGACATTGCCCAATCTTGATGCTCCAGTAAGTTCCGGAACAGCTCTACCAAGAAATCCATTGCTCTGAAAATGAACAAGAATAGTATCATGCATATGAGGTATCACTATTTCAACAAAGTGCAAAATCATAAAAGCAAAAAAGCAAACGTTAATGATCATATTGATTACCTTGTCAACCAAAGAAGACCATTGGTGCAGCTGGATGACGCTTTTGCTGTTTTCGCTTCAATCTCAACTTGTACCAAACTGTACAGGAGGTTGAATGCGGCAGGATTGGATTCATATTTAGATTCCAATCTCTATACAAACAAAAAATTGTTGAGAGCGAAATTACAAATGGGCACTCAAAATCGATCAACTAAAAGATGGTCTACTTGTTAACATACATAAAACCCAAGGGACGTCGTTTGTATTGGAATGATGCATGAAAAATAGATCATTCAAGTTAATCAACATAAAGCATAATTCTACTAAACTCACAGCGCACCAATGGTGAAAATACAAGTAAAAGAACATTCTTACCGTTATGTTACCTCCGATGTCTGATTTAACAAGGGTCATAGCAGCTCCAAACTTATCTAGCATCAGAATTTGGAATTGCAATTCATAAGCAGATAAGATCAAGCCCAGAACAAAATAACCAATCTCAAATTATAAAATTTTAACAAATGGGTAGCTGGCATTATGCTTAAAAACCATGTACCAACAACAATCGTGCCTTAAAGAAAGCGAAAACCCGGTTCAATTTCTAGGATCAGAGCAAAAGAGGGGGCGAAATGAACCTATAATAGGTAAAATCTGCTTGCAGACATCCAAGAAAGGCTTGGTCAGAATCTCTCCTTGGTCGGACTTGACAGTCTTGAATCCTTCCAAAGCGGGAGCAAACACAGTGCCCTCCATCTTCTTCCCACTTCACTGCGCAATTCATATCACCAGTCAAATTCACAACACAACAAGAGGTAAAATTTACAAGCAAAGCTCAAATCTTTAAGTCACAAATAGCTTAATCGAAGCAAGATCCAGACGAACAATAAATGGGTAACTGAGATAGAGTGAGAGGAAGATCGGAGCTTACGTGGAAGTTGCTGGTAGCGGTTCGATCTAAGTGAGGCTGCAGAAATGGTGAGGATCAAAATCGAAAATCAAAATGTGGTTTGCGTTGGATTCGATTATTCCTGAAATGGGAAAACTATGGTGGAGAAATTGCAATGGGAGAATCGGATTCTTGTTCTGAGATTTGAATTGCTTTGGAAAGTGAATGTTTAAAAGAAGTGAAAGGGATTTGACAAATTGAGTGTTTGGGGGACTATCCGCGCATCAAATACGAATCCGCAGCGTCCGGGATCCGAAGACGTGTTGGATTGGCGAAAGGGGTAACCGCCAGCCGGCTCAAGCGGGTTCGTGGCCGTTATAATTTTTTTATTTTTTTTCTTTCTAATATGTTACTTTTTGTTATAAATAAACAAAAGTTAGAGAGATAACCTTTCTAAGGACATGAGCGAAGTAGGTGCAAAATATCACACTATGACTTTAGTAGCTATAACACAAAAAAAGATGCAAGATAAAAAGAGGGAGGGATATTGATATTATTTCTCTTGCTTTCTTTCGTAGTTCATTTGATAACAGACGAAATACTCTATTTATAGAGCGACTCTCGTAGTTACAACCATCAAAATACAATGATGATACTTAATACACAGTCTCTGGGCACACGTGTGAGGGACTAATTACATCATATGCATTTACTTAATAGACTAGTCTCTTGTCACACACGAGGGACTAAATGCAGCATATGCATTTACTTAATACACTAGTCTATTGTCACATCCTCATGTGCATGGCAATTTGCTCTTTCATGTTTTATCCTCTACCATGCAAGCAAGCAAAAAAAAAAGGCTGACGCATCTAGAGAAAGGATAACATTCCTAAATTTTGAATTGTTCTAGAAGCATCAGGGCCATATTGAGTCGTACGAGCGTTCTTGGGATGGAAAGGCTAAAATAGAGGAGGAACACAACAAGGGCTTTGAGGATTCTTGTCGACTAGCAAAGGGAAATGAACCGCGTCAACCATAATGGAATTATTTGACATTTTATTGTTGTGCAATGTATTAGCTAAGTATTTTATGATAATAAACATGCGTACTATGTATCCTTGTTATATGCACATAACATGCACATACCATGCACATAATATGCATAATATCATATGCACATAATATGCCATAGGCACAAGACATGCACACCTTATGTACGCAACATGTACAACATATGCACGTCATATGCATACATTGGGAAAATTTTAACATTTTTTGTGATATGTTAAAATGGTTTTAATAGGGACTAAATTTGTTTCTTTTCCTTTACTTTTCTTCAAATTTAGTAGTCATGTAATTTGTGTTAGTAAATGGAAAGGGAGAAGTTTTTTTGTTATCATTAACAATGTTGCTTTCTTACATGAAAAGGTGCACAACACAAAGCATGAACAAAGCATACTTAAGTCCCAAAACCCGATGTCATAGGTTCGAATCATATAAGATGTGATTTTGTGTCCTTGTTCACTACATTACGTCAAAATAGACTACAATAATTGAGCACAAACCCAAATTTAACCTCCTTTATGCATCTCGTAAGCATACAGTGTATAGTTTTCTGGAAAAATTGAAGCCAAAGCTAAGAAATATTTGACCCCAATCATAGAACCCATGAACTCACAAAATATAGGTAAAGCCAAGAAACCCAGTAGCCATAAAACATACGAACCCAGAAATTAACACTCATAAATATTGCACTTTGAAATCAAAACCCATAAACAAACCTTTAAAAAATTAAAAACATTATTCCCCAGATATTGTAAAGAAACCGGCATCACTCGTACTGGGCTTTGACTCATGTTGATTCATCCAATCCCACCTGCGACCTTCATGAGATCTTTGTGGATGAATTATTATCCATTACACACCAAGCTTTTGGGATTGCGAGTTGGGAATTGTATTGCGACCTAAAAGTTAGATGCGATATGAATCTTGGGTCACCAATTTGAAAACAAAGGACAGAGAGGACTGGTGAAAAGATGGCCATCGGTGAGAGAGAAATGGTTGCTGCAAGTGAGGTGGGTTGTTAAAGGGTGAGTGCATCGTTAGGGTTCTTCGCCAGAGAGAGAGAGAGAGAGAGATCAGAAAATGGGAGGTAATAACCCATTTATATACAAGGGCAATTAGGTCATTTCAAGGTGTAGAAGAATCCTATTTCTGTCCAGCGAATGTGCATGGCGTGTGCATGTTCTGTGCATATTAAAAAAACCCTATTTTTGTCTCAAGATTAAGAAAATGTCCAATTTTGTGGTATTTCCCAAAAATTATTGACATACCTGTTTTTCTTTCAACAATGAGAGAATAAAATGGTATCAAACTCGTCATGCATAAAATTTGAATTTTTGACCTCTAACATACAAGTAAAATAAATATCGCTCAATCGTAATACTAAGTGTTAGTATTGACAAACTTGTTGAATTATACATGATCTCCATCAGCCAATCAGAAAATAAGGAGAAATTAAATTAATTAGACATTCCACTCTAAATTGATTTAAACATTTTATTGAAAATTCTTAAGTTTCAAAGCTCATCATCTTAATATAAAAACAAAGTTGAGAAATACAGAAATTATCATGTGTTCTAATAATTAAGGTAATTAATTTAGAAGAATTTGGGAGGGTATTTGATGGCATTCTTGACAATCTTTTTGGAGGCAGCATCAGCAAGATCAATGCCGCATATATCCGCCAACCTGATGAGGTAAAGAAGCACATCAGAAAGCTCTTCTCCCAGATGCTCTTTATCTGATTCCTTCCAATTTGGCAACCCTCTGTCCACCTCTCCCCTCCACTGGAAGATTTCTGATAGTTCTCCTACCTCTCCCACCTACACATGCAGCATCTATCGTGTATATTATAGCAACCATGAAAATTATTTATTTGTTTTCATATTCCATTTCTATATATTTTCAACCACTCATGCATGAATGGCTTAAATTCTCTTTTTGCAATCATAGTTTTCTAAAAATGTACACTAGGTAAAAAAAAGAAGTTAAATGAAAGCTTTCCACATATTAGGGAATGAAATTTGCAACACCCAATATGCCGCCTTAGCCTACACCCCCTCGACCCGCCTACTTGGGTCTTGTATGGATATGCAGGAAGGGGTCCTGATGTGAGTCAAGGAGAGTGTTACAGCCACTACACGTTGTTAGTTGTCCCCAGTGCGTGCCAGCTTCCCTAATCAGAAGTCATCCAAATCTTTCTGAAGGAAGTGTTCAAATGGTGAAAGTTGAAAGATAAACTTTAAAAAGTACGATCTGTCTGTGGTATCCGACCTCAAAAGTTTGCAAAAGAGTATTGCATGCATTATGCATGCAAAATTGGAGCAGGGAAACCCAATTTCATATTTCAGAAACTGCTAACCCCACTCATATTTGAATGAATAAGGTTTACTGGCGTTGGCCATTCCCGAAAGATAGCTTATGTTAAAAAAAATAGCAGATATAAATTAAGGCAGTTGACCAGAGCATGTCCATTTAAACCCTAGTTTGAATTCTCATTCCCGTAAATTAAATAGTTTATAATTATCAAATAAAGAAACACCAACAAATCAATGAAATGTACAGGTCATGCACGTGTTTAGGAAATATATGTTTGCATCTACAAAGAGATGTATGTATGTATGTGGCAAAGGAACAACATATTCCAACATGTATATACGTATATGTATATATACTTATATTCTTCAATCTGTGAACTTGAACCACACAATAAAAAAATAATCATAATAATTAATATAATCGAAACTCACAATACGAAAATATAAGCATCTTATGTCCTCAAACCATTTTCCTAGAGCAAAGAAGATTGCATGACCCAAGCGTAAAAACTAATGACAGAGAAAAGTAACACAGAAATGCGTGGTTAGGCAGAGAGAGACCAATGAACTTGTTAGACATGCATCATACATAGAAACATATGCAGTGTCATGGTTACCAAAACAAATGATGATCGTAGAATTGTAATGGGAAAAGATTTAATTACCATAGCCAGGAGTAGGTTTCTGGGACTGTGGTATTTCTCCCAATCTCTAGCCTTGGCAAATTCCTCAAGCTTCTTAGAGAGGTCCTTGAGACTGATATTCTCTCTTTCTTCTTCTGCTGCATTAATCTCTTCTCCTTCTCCCATTTTTCACTCTCTCTTGGGTTTTTATTTTTTTGCAGAAGAGAGGGACTTTTTATAGCTTAAAAAAGGATGAAGGTACAAATTTTATTTTTCTCTCTTTTTAAGGAATAAGTATCTTGTATGCTAAAAAATCAAAAAATAAAAATAAAAATAAAATCAAAAAAATAAATAAAAGAAGGAAAAGGATAAAAAGTCTAAATATGCCGGCCCCCAGTCGTCCTCATGTTTATACCAGAGATTCCTCACTGTCCCTCCACTGTGCAAAATGGCCAACTTCAATGCATATAATTAGTAGAGAATATTCCATAACTACTTACCATGGATGTCATGTTTGATCAGCAACCATTACGAATGTTATTAGGGTCGGCCCTAAGAATTTTAGGGCTATAGGTGAGCTATCGAAGTGGGGTTCTAAAGTTTTTTGACCTCTGATCCTTTGTACATTGATATGTATAAAAAAAATTCGCTAAATAGATTAAATATTCTATTTCTACATCAAATATCGTTAAAAGTTAACATCAAAAGAATTATGATATTCCCTACTTTTTCTGTATTTTCATGTTATTTACAAGATATATAAAATTTTTGTAGCCCCCCGAAGTGGGAGCCCTAAACAGGCGCCTACATGAACTACCCTCAGAATCGGCCTTGGATGTTATGGCCGGTCCAGATCGTATGTACTTACGTGATGGTCATTCATTTAGTGATCCAACCACTAATTGGATTTAGGTACCTCATAAGGGATTTATTTCCCTTAATTCAAAATGCAGCAATTTTTTTTTTTTTTTCGTGCCACGATATTTTTTTACACTAAGGGGAAGAGCAGTCACTAGTAGAAAAAAAGCTTGAGCGATGAAGAAGATTTTGTCGCATAAGTGTAACTTGCACCACGGAAACACACTTAGGTTGCACAAACAATAGAGAGGTACCGATGGAAGTGTTTTTCCTCGTTTGATGACAAAAGTTCGGCTGAAGCGTCCGCCAAACTTAGGTTCGATATAGGGGTATTGGTGCGGAAGCAATGTTCTACCAAGTTTAAGTCTTGGAAAATGGTGCCTGTGTACTTGAAGAACTCCATGATGTAGGAGTTATCGGTAAGTTTTATTAAAGAATGTGTAATTGTTTTTGTTTAAAAATAATATTTTTGCGATAACTAATTTAATTTTATTGCCATTATAGGTTGTTTGGGATGTTGATGAAACCGATGAGAAGCAGCAGAAGTATGTGGACGACCCTTTTAAGATGCAGTTTTGGCAGTGGAAGTTCGATGTACATTGAGCTGCTGATGCCGATGCCCCAGAGGAAGAGTGAACTTAATTTGGTTTTTTTTTTCTTTTTTTTATTTATGAAATAATATTTATTTGAACGTTATGTTGGACTTTTTTTTTTTTTTTTAAATGTATGTTACATGTACGGCTTAAAGTTTACATTAGTTGTAATATATATTTTTGTTAATAAATTAGTTTTAATAAATATTTTGGTAATATATAATTTGGTTTGATAATTTTAATTGGATAAAAAAAATTTTACATTAGTTAGAAAGATAACGGAAAAAAAAGAAAAGAAAAAAAATAATGCAACTTGCGCGACAAATATAGTGTTTGTTGCATAAATAGTTTACATTATTAAATTATAAAGAAAACAAAAATGAGAATTGTGCAAAAAAAAAAAAATGACACTTGTGCGACAAAGTTAGAATTTGTTGCGCAAGAAGTTATATTTCGTCGCGCAAAAGTAACTTGCGTGACGAATTCTAACTTCGTCGGGCAAAGTGATTCTTCCAAAAGTAATCTTTATAACGTGACTATAGCTGCAGAGGCAGAAAACTGCAGATTTCGCCTCTGCACCTTATTTCCCTTCGTTTTTCTTCAATTTGAGATCTGTCGTTCCCATTTTCTCTCAATTTCTTCCTCCAACTAAATCTCTATCTTCTCTAGGTTGATCGAGCTATTTTGGTGTGTTTGGTAAGGTTTTTTTTTATTTTCATTTAAAAGTCTCATTCATACTAACACCATAAAAATAGTTGTGTATATGGATATTGTGTGTGACTAGCGCTCGGTGGATAACGATTTCGAGGGTATTTTCTTTGTTTTATTTTTCAAAAATATAAATTAGTTAAATTATATTGAAATTATGTTGTTATGTTTATATTAAGTTGTTAAATTATATTTATTACAATTTTGTTTTTTATGTTATAATTATGTACAATGTTGAATTGTATATGCACAAATTTGTACGTGACGTACAAATTTGTGTTGTGATGTAAAGAGTTAATTGTAATTAACTTTGTATTTGTTTTTTTTTTTAAGTAAAACTTAGTTTCCTGTTTGAGGATTAGTTGGATGCCGCGCATGGATGCGAAAGCATGGTTGCGGTCCAATTGATTCTTGAATTGTCTCATTATTTGGATAGTTTGGGAATGCAAAGTTATGACGTGTAGTTTATGGTTGAAGGATTAGGTTTCGGTCGTGGGGATTTCGGTGTCATCTATGTACGTTCTTCGGGTGGCACATAGGTATTTCATATCTATGTCGTGCACTTGAAGAACTGTACAGAGATGCTGCCGAAATTTCTACACGTCGAAATCTAATCTGAACTAGTCGTAAATTACGTGACATAATTTTGCATTCCTGAATAGGATAGGGCCTTTATCGGAGGCATAAGGTGACAAGATTATGTTGAAGTTGTTGTGATTGTTGTACTATTATTGTGGTTGCAGGAATGATAGACAGAACGTGCATACAAAACCTAAACAGATGCGCCAACAAATACTTGAATGGAGTTGAGGATTTAATTGACTTTACACATACACACAGCCAGGGTGCAACTAGAATCCGGTGTCCTTGTAGGAGGTGTAACAACAAGTTAAGGGAAAGTATTGAAAATGTTTGATTTCATTTAGTAAGGAATGAAATGGTAGAGACCTATAATATCTAGGAACCATCACGGGGAACAATTGGACAATGCTTCGTCTTTAAACATGAGAAGAGTGGGCAATGTTGAACCTAATATTGATCCTAATGAACAAGTCATGGAAATCTTAAATGACGTTTTTCCATTTACGTCAACAAATACCAATAAGGAAGTGGAAGATGACATGCCTACACTAATGGATAGTGGAGAATTCGAACAATATGAAAAACTATTAAAAAATGCCAACCAAGAGTTATACCTAGGGTGTGAGAGATTTTCGATTTTCACAGCTATTATGGAACTAATGCACGAGAAAATAAAGTATCGTATGTTTGCCGAAAGACTATAGAAAAGCCCAAAAGGTGTTGAATGGTCTGGGATTGGGTTATGAAAAAAATTCACACTTGCAAAAATAATTGTGTATTGTTCTATAAGGAGAATAAAACGTTGGATAATTGCCTTGTATGCAATGAGTCGAGGTTCAAAATGACATCTCAGAATAGATTGACGAAGATCCCACAAAAAGTCATGCATTATTTGCCTTTGAAGCCTACGTTGCAGTGATTGTATATGTCAACGCATACTGCAACCGACATGAGATGGCATAAGGAAAAATGGGTAGATGATTATGTCCATAGGCATCATGCAGATGAGGAGGCATGGAAAGAGTTTTATCGAACGTTCCTTGATTTTGCTACTAATCCTTAGAACGTTAGATTGGGACTTTTCATTGACCGATTCAATCCGTTCGGGGTTCTAAACCAACACCACAGTACTTGGCCGATTTTCGTATTTCCGTATAATTTGCCACCATGTAAATGTATGAAAAAAGAATATATGATGATGATTCTATTGATAGCTGAGGATCCTGGTAGGTCAATCGATGTATACTTATGGTCGTTGGTGGATGAGCTAAAGGATTTATGGACACACGGTGTGCGCACATACGATAAATGTTGTAGCAAGATGTTCACTTTGCAGGCAGCAATGATGTGGACTATGAACGATTTATGGGTGGAGCATTAGGGGTTATATGGCATGCCCTGTATGCAAGGAAGACATAACATCTAGTTGGCACACCGGAAAAGTTTGTTACCTTGGTCATTAAAGATGGTTACCATAGGACCACGAGTGGCGAGAGAAGGATAAAGAGTTCGACGGGAAAAAAGAGTCTCACCTCAGACCTAGAGAATGGTCCAGTGATAAGATTTTGGAACAGCTTAACCATTTGGATTTCGTTTCGTTCGGGAAAAATATTAGTAGGACTATACTTTCTACACATATGAACTAAGTCTATGTTTTTTGAGCTCCCGTATTGGTCAAAACTAAAATTGAGACACAATCTTGATGTTATGTATGTTAAGAAAAATGCATTTGACACATTGGTCGGCATAATTCTAAATATCGAGGGCAAGACAAGGGACACGATCAAAGCTAGTCTTGATTGGAACGAATGGGAATTCGATAGGGTTTATGGATGAATAGGGACAGTGCTAAAGGCAGAAGGGATCTTGCGTTTTTTTTCCATGAAACCGAATGACAAAAAAGTAATTTTAAAGTTTTTATCGTCTGTAAAGTTTCTCTATGGGTATGCTTCAAATATCACACGTTGCGTGAACGCTGACGAGGGTAAATTAGCTGGACTAAAGAGTCATGACTGCCATGTGGTTTTGCAACGCTTACTTTCTATTGGTATTCGACATCTCTTGCTAGCTGATGTAGTGAAACCAATCATGTTGTCCAGTATTTTTTCACAATTGACGTCAAGATCGTTGCGAAAGACAGACGTTAATCAGTTATGTCATGACATTGTGCAAGTTCTATGCAAGTTTAAGATGATATTTCCTTTAGCTTTCTTCATAAGTATGATCCACGTGATAGTTCACTTGCCGGATGAGGCATTGCTTGCTGGACCAGTTAACTTCAGTGGTATATAATCCTTGTCATTTTTATTAATCAATACCTTACGATTAGTAAAATTTGTATCGTATCGTTTTATTTTGGCAGGCTTCTCGAGAGACTTGAAGAAAAGTGTATGAAACAAAGCAAAGCCCGAATGATCAATTATACAAGCTTGGGTGCCATATGAGACGCTTACATTTTGTGGATGTATTTAAAGGATGTGGAGACAACTTTTAATCGTCCTCCTTGCAATAATGATGAGGGTGTGAGAAAGGAGAAACTTTCAGTTTTTGCCCAAATCGCTCGACCATTTGGAGATCTGATATAAGGCGAGTCATTTTCCAAAATGGACATAGAGGTAGCACATTGGTTTGTACTCAATAATTGTGACGAGACACAAT